ACCCAAATGCAAGTGATGGTGATCGATGCGAAAAGCAGTGGGATCAGCAGGCCAACGCGCCCGATTGCCTTTATTTTGCTTCGCCCGATTGCCCGGGCGAGTGCTCTGGACTACTTTTTCTCCGCTTGTTCGTCCGATCGGTCCTTTCCGGGGCTGCCAAAGTCGACTGATATTTTGCGTTGTTTTAAATATTTCGGCGGTTTTCCGGTTTTTAATATTTTTCGGCACATTTGGGACGTTTTTAAAAAATGCCCGATCAGGGGAAGAGGCTTGCACGGGGTGAATGCTGCTCAATTCTAGAGCACGGGGGAGATGCTGACATCTCCCTCCCTTCATCAGCGCAGCGGTATATCATCAACGATGAGGCCAAATGCTCTTCAGTGTCATGTTTCTTCTCGTGTGTTAACTGTCTGTGTGTCATTTCATGCCACCCTGTAGCATTCCCTCCCTTCATGTGCTGGGCTCCGAACAGCACCATTATCGGCTGCAGGGTGTGTAAGGCGCATGAATATGACACATAATCCATCTCACATCAACACATCCGCTGAGTGATGCACCTCGGCTGCAGAAGGAGAAAACCCACAGACAGTGGCAAAAACTCCTTCCTCCGCTTCGCCATCCGAATGGCCCAACCCACCAATGACCATTCGTTTGCGTATTGACGTCGCATGGATGCAGGACCGGCATGAGGACCGGCTGCTGTGCAGCGCGTCTTCCTCTCAGAGGCGTGGGAGTCCTGGCATCCTGACGGAGCTGTCATTCGTGTGTGTCATCACTCGCGTCACAGCTACATGACGTTCGCAGCACCTCGCGAGTGTGCTACGGACCCGGGATTTGTTTGTCGTCGACTTCCCCCCGGCCGACCAGTGTGTTAACTGTCTGTGTGTCATTTCATGCCACCCTGTAGCATTTTTCGCTGCATGGCGATGTCATGCTCCCGCTGGTGGTTTCAACGGTGTGCTCCTCGAGTCGCGCGGCACAGTATCTCACGAGCATAGCATAGTGCAAGTCGATCAAGACTAGATCGCCAAAGGCGGCCGTAGTTCGCTTCGACGGCAAAAACTCGCAAACCCCTTCACCCAAAACCCTGAATGCAACGCCTTCTTGTGGCAGACTGAGGGTCAAAGGTTTTCGGCACACGATAGTCGCGCAATTGTCTACGCACATACAGAAAAAGACAGAAAGGGCATTGAATGAATTTCAATGTCATTGCATTAAATGCATATCAGACAGACAAACGTGTGGTAAGTGTGGTATCGCCGTGATGTAACGTGTGCTGGACCGCCGAGCGGATGTGCGTGACGTTGATGACCACAGACGTATAATGAATGATACGCAGAGGTCCAACGAGAAGTCAACGACACAGAAAACTGCACCACACCACTCGGACGGTGCCTCGAGCTTGGAGATCTTCTCCACCTCATCAGCGATGGCATCGGCGATGGCGCGGCCAAGGTTGCCAAGCTTGCTGAGATCCTTCACGCACCGCAGTCGAAGCTGGCAGACCCGCTCGTGATATGCCTCCCACTCAGGGAAAGTCGATCCACTGGCAGAGTTGACGAGGGGCTCGCCGAAGGCCTCGCGCATCTTCTCATCGACAAAGGAAGCCGTGGAGGGCACGGCAGGGCCAGCAGAGGGGGAGACGGCCGGGTCCGCGGGATACGCCAAATTCGTGCACGTGCCGCGCTTGCAGTTGACACAGTGAGTGCAGAGGCGCTTGTTTTTCCGGCAGTCACATCGTCGGCTGCATGTGGACAGGGCAGACTTCCCATTCGCGTTCCATGCGCAACAGGGGGGCCCGACGCCGTCTCGCGGGATGAGGGTCGCTGGAGGGGGTTGGGTGTAGTCCGATACACGCTCCCTCATCCGAAAAGGAGGAGAAACAGCCGAGAAATCACCAACTCAATCATGGGGGCTATTGATTGATCAAATATTTGTTCATTTGACGATTCCCAAATATTTCTCGGCGGTTTGCCGATTTTTATATTTTCAGCACATTTGGGACGTTTTAAAAAATGTGGGGATGATTCAACAATGCCCGATAGAGCCATGGAGGCATAAGATAGAGCACGGCATCAGCTCCGCCTCCCCGTGACGGTCCTGGCGACATGCGATTCATCGGAGGAGGTCGACATCGCATGTGGGGATGATTTCAACAATGCCCGATAGAGCCATTGTACCAGCGGCCTTCGTTAGTGTTTTTCAGTCGTTTGGCATCTTGCAGCATGATGACTGCCGCATAGATGAATGCACCTAAATTGACATCTGACACGAAAGATGCTTTTATATTGCAGCATAACGTTTATTCCGTACCTCGCGCCATTTTGCTTTTTTGTTCCACCTTCTCCCTCTCCCACAGCGCCGTGCCCGACACAGGACCGAACTGGGTGACGTCACCAAACAGGAGCATGCTAAGGCCGCCGAACAGTGGCTGGTCCTGGGCAGGGACCTCTTCTTTAGCCCTGACCTCCCGCAGCTTGTCCTCGATCTTCTCAAAGTGGGCTGTAGCGTAGCCATTGGCGACCCTGTCACAGAGAAACCTGCGGTGCGCGTGACATCGGTCGAGTTGACTCGTGTTAACTCGTCTGCTTGTCGTCATTTATTCTTAATTGTGTCTCTTATCGATTGGTCAATTAGCATCGAGTAAGCGCTATTTCATAGCGTTGTCTAGTCACGGACAAAATCCCGGGCCACAGGGGGAAGGGGGCAGACAGAAACCTGAACATCACGCACCCTCACGAACAACCTAACACACACACACTAACACACACACACAAACACACACACACACCACACACACACACACGCACACCCACACCCACCCACACACATCCACCCACACACACCCACCCACACACCCACACACACCCACCCACACACCCACACACCCACACACACACACTCACGAGCACAACCAGCCAGCCGTCGCCCGACGGGATAGCAAACAGGGGCAGGGCGCTTTTCCCCCGCGCTTCTAAAATACGGGGCATGTGAAACCCAGGGGTAGCCAAGGGAAACCTTGGTGAGCCGGACTCGCCGCCCTGGTCTCTGCAGGGTGTCCCGCAGTGCGCTCGATTCGTCCGAATGAATGCCTTGTGTGTTCATGAGGACGCTCGAGTGAATGAATGAATGAATGAACTTCGCACGCTTTATTCGACCCCCGCCCAATTCGCGGCCCGGGATGCCCACGCAGTGGGTGCCCCTTACTCGGAATACACTTCACGAAGCACAGTGAGCGGGTTGCTCTGTTCCATTGTTTCTGCTCACTTTTCCCAACCGGCGGTTCCATAGCCGTTCTCTTTCGTGAGGTGATCGGCTGGAGGATGACACAAGGCAGTCCAGTCCAGTCGGAATCTGTATCTATCCCGCTGCCTGCTGTCCGATGGATGTGGCCCGTATGTGTATTTCTGGGTTTATTTCTGGGTTGCCAATGGCTGGGCTGGTATTTGATTCTGGACCAGACTCGAGGTGCAATCCCGAGACAATCGGAGGCCCCCCCGGCGGCTATCCCGATGACGACCGCAGACATGCTGCGTCTAATCCAATCGGGACAGCATATTACCCTGGGCGGGTCCTACCTTCGTCAAGAGAAATGGCTTCCGTACAACCCCTCCATCCTCTTTGTTCCACAATATGCATGGGCTCCGCTCTGTTCCTTATTTGTGGGTGTCTCTCCCTACTGTCTGGAGGGGGTGTTGGCCATCTCATGGTTTGCACGCATTCCCAACGCGGCGTATGGAGCTCACAATTTCGTCGGCTTCATCCGGCCTCAGCGGTTGCAACACATTCTTGACGGGCCATCACATTCCGTGCAGGTAAATGTAGGCTTGCGAAGATACTCTGTAATGATTGTCTGTGCAGGTTGGCGATTGGCTTGTAGAGCCTACCTTCGTGCAAAACATGCGGGGTGAAAAGGTGGCCGACGTGCGTCTGTTCCTGACCCGACATGGAAAGGATGGAGAACTTGCTCTGGCGGGTTCAGGGGGAACGAGACGAGGCCACTGGAGACGGGCAGGATACAGAATGACGGCCAATTACTCACAGCGCATTTTCAGGATGGACGCGCTGCGGTTCGACGACACTCTGTGGGCTTCATGTCCGCGGCCATGTGAGGCGTCTCATGATAAGCGGTATCCACACGGAATGGATGGGCAGCCCCTCTCGATCGAGATTCGATGTTGCGTGCCTAAGCCCTCAGGATATCAAGGCGTACAAATGATGGCAGTGAACTGTGTCGGCGCGTGCACCGACAATTTAAGCGGCGTAGAACTTGTGATGCACGAAGACCGGATACCCCGCAAAAACCTCGTGCCGATGCTATATCCCCTTCCTGATCTGACGAATGTCAACGTGTTTGTGGATTTTGGGGCCGAGAAGAATAGCGGACCGTTAGTTTCTGGGATCGATACAACTAATGGTCAAGCCGTCTGGCGTACATCCATGTCATTATCGCCCGGATCATGTCAAACTCTCAAGAGTACCAAGTGGCGTGGGAGCTCTCAACTCGTGCCATTGGATTGGGGGCTGAATGGTGCACATGCCATTGATGCCTTGATGCAGCAACCCCTAAGCGAGAAGTCCCTGATGGTGGCCATCGTTCATCAACAAAAACGAATCAAAGGACACCTTTGGTATGATCATCGCGTTGTAATCTTTAATGCGGAGAGACATCCGAGCTATGATGCATGGATTCCCGGCTGTCGGTCCATCATGCCAGTGGATCCAATTGCCGTGCAGAATCGAGACACTTCTTTTTACTTTGCCGTCGGCCTGGCCCCTTTTCCCAGACGGCTCTCTCGGCGGCCGGAGCAGCAGCAGTCGGACTCCGAATCACCATCCTGGACTTTTGCTGTTACATTCGGGAAAGGTAATGAGCTGCCGCTCATGACGACAATGACTCTAGTACATCGCGAGGTTGAGGAATTCGCAAGACATCCACGCATCACGCCGTCTTCGTTTGATCATCCTACGCCCACGATTGACAATATTTTTCTCATGTGGTGCGGAAGACCGCCCGACATTTATCGCTCCCGCCAACTTCAACATTTGCTTAAGAGTATATCCCTGTTCCAACCAAAATCGCATGTCTATTTCATTACGGAGCGTAAGATTGTATCGGCAAGTCTGGAGGAAAAGTTGACTGAATATCCCAAGGTGCATCTACTGTTTTGGTCTCAATCTTTCTTTGACGACACGCCGCTTCAAGGCATGCAACCTGTGGCTTGGAGAGAAACCAGCGATGCGGTTCGGCTTGTAGCGCTGTGGAAATGGGGAGGTACCTGGATGGACACGGATGACCTGATGCTGCGCCCCATCATGCAGGATCTAAATGTGCTTCCAATCCTGGAATGGCCCGGGGAAACACAGAAACATTATTTTGGGTCCACGTTCACTTTGGTAGATGGAAAGCACAAGCAGCACCCCAACGCCAACCCGAAGTGGAAGTTCCACATTCAAAACGATCCTTTGGTCAATTTTGAACCAAGGAATCCCTTCTTGTTGGCCTGGATGGAAGAGATTGCCCGGACACGGCGGAGCCAAGACTGGGGTC